ACAAATTGCTTATGTCATTTCAAAGTTTATTTCGAGAATTACATTATCGGCATATCGAATAGTCCAAACAGATATCGAAAATAGTTAAAAATATGTTAAACGTGGGTCTTAAAAAAACGTCTAACTCGCATTTTTTTAAAAATTCAATTATTTCATTAACATTTATTATTTTTGTGATACAAATTTCTCAATATAATTTTTATTATTTCATTAGGAAATTTTGTATGGAATATGATATCAAAAAATTTTGAAATTTTACATCCGAAAAAGTCATATCCCATGTAAATTTTCGGATGTAAAATTATATGGGGTATGATTTTTTTGGACGTCAATTTTCGATTGTAAAATTTCTTCCAACTTCTTTACAAGTTCGATTGTGCCCCATAACTTTTAAGGTCTGCATCCGCTCCTGCGGTTGGAGTTAGGGATGAGGATGAAGATGAATGGTGCTCTAAAGTCCTTAAACTAACGAAGACTCGGTTCTATAGTTGGCCAATTCATCAACCTACGAGAGAGCCATTTTTATTAAAAAAATAACATCGCATTACAAATCACGTGTTTTCTTTTTAATACCAATAGTAAAGAATTGTTTCCCCCCTACTTGGACATGAACTCGAGATATTTTAAGATTCATTATTCAAAAAAATTGAAAAGATAAAAAAGAAAGAATTGGGTCCCCCTGCAGTATTTTCCAAAATAGGGCTCCAAGTTGGTACTGAATTCTGAAAAGTGAATTATCTCGAGCGACATGTGAGAATTTCTCGAGAGTCTAAACCCCACTGCAAACTAGAAAAATTCTACACGTACCATGTGGCCATGTACGTGTAGCACCATAACCCATATCCTTTGTAAAGGAAAAACTAGACAATAACCTAAAAGCTTTTAACTTCATTCTAGAAAATTAAGGCCCTGTTCTCTTTGCCGTTTTGGAGTCGTTTTCTGTTTTCTGTTTTTCAAAACAGTGAAAACGCGTTCTCTTTCCTATTTTCGAAAACGTGTTTTGGAAAACGAAAAAAATTTGTACACAAAACGAAAAAAATCATTTTGGACGTTTTCAAGCCAAACCCACAAAAAACTTGAAAACA